TTTTCTCCAGTTTCATGTAGCACCACACTTGCTCATCTTTTAAAACATATAGTTTGTCAGCAATATTAATAACATCTAATGCATTGTCAAAGCCTATATATTCTTTGTTGACTTTATATAAACTAATATTCTTCATATTTAGTTTATTATAAACAATTATAAAACAATCTTTCCGTGATTACTACATCAAAAAAAAACGAGGTTAAGTTAGGTTAAGTTCTTCAAAGTTGACAGTACCGACCTTGAATGTAAAACATTTATTTATTTATTATTATTTGACAATTCATTTTACAAAAACAATTAAAATTGATCTTCATTAAATTAGGAATCATAAAATTATTTCTTATATTGCTTTGGGTAACATTTTTTAACGAGTTTCACATTTTCTTTTCATATAAATAATAAAGTGGATGTATTAATTGAAGAACTTGAGTGACCGATTTGATTGAAGTATCAATTTGAATGTGTACAACCTACTGTTTTTGGTCTATATTCATCGTAATATTTAAAGTGATTAATTAGTGATTAATGATTTTATTTAGTTAACTGCAGCAGCAGTTTACAGTTTTAAACTTAAATTTTCACCGCGGAACGCAAACATGCGCATGCGAAATAATAGTTCGGTGGTGCTTTTTAATGATGGGTGGTAGGTCATCCATCATATAAAAAATTTTCCAAAATTTCTTTGTTAAATACATGATAAGCTTTTTTTAAGGTAAAAGCTAATTAAGAATATAAAGATTATCAACGGTTAGTATTTACGGTACTTTGAACTCGATCGATTTGAAGCTAAAATTGACAGAGTTTTACAAGAATTTTAACCCATATGATTGATCTGTGAAAGGTAAACCTGGTGAGTGACACTAGTGAAATTACAAGTGAAATGTAAACATTTTTGAGTGTTTTAGATTTTAGTGAATTAATCAAACTTTAAAGTCATTGTTTTATAATACTGCATACAAAAAATGCATTGCTGTGATTTATAAACTGTGTTGTGCATTTTCAAGTTGTACTACACATTAAACATGGCTTCTACAATAGCTTGAAGGAATGTCAAAGGTATATGAGGATTAAGAATGTATTACTTCAGAAGCAGAGAAATTACAAATATTAAAAATACATTCAGTACTGGTATGTACTTTATACTTTTTACTTGTTGAATTTGCCAAAATTTACTGGTGCTTGTTAATAAAAGTGAAATTCATAACAGTAATGTTACTGAAATTTTGAATTGAATGCAAAATGTATGTCAGTACAAAATAGAAAAAGAAAAATACAAACATCACTTAATATAATTTTTAAATATATTTGAGACAATATTAATTTATGGAAATCGATGAATTTTATTTGTTTAAGAAATTAGAGCACTACATTTATACAACATTGTATATTAATAGTTTAAAGTTTGTTTATTGAGTTCTTTTCCTTTTGCAATAATTGTTTTAATGACAATGTTTAATGTTTTATTTTTGTGTATTATTTGCATTGTATGTGTTACATTGGCAAATTATGTTCATGTAGCTAGTGACCCTGCACAAAGCTCTTGGTTCAGAAAGTAATGAACCTCTTTGACTGTCTTTTTCCCTGTGCACTGCAGCACAGTTGGTGGAATATTGGTAGTGAACATTGTATGAGCCAAGAATTTGTAAATAGCATGGGTGTCAATTCGTCAGTTGCAGCTGCAGGAGATGTAGGTAACTCACCTGGTAACTCAGGCTTTACTGATATGTCAGCATACAGAGATACAGTTGGAATAATGATAAGGTGTGTTATATTTCAATTTGTATTTAATTGTAATTGTAGAAAATGTAGCAGATATGACTTATTATATATAGTAATAAGCTTCATTATATATTTATGTATTACTTATCTATAATTTTAAGTTTTATATTTGATGATATTTTTTTTTTAATTACTGAAAATGCATATTAAATACATTGGTAATAGGTAAATATTGTTTATAGCAGGGAAAGGAAGAAAAAAATAGCCGGTCTTTCAACCCTCAAGAAAAAATTTATTAAAAGAAGGAGGTCTTCAAAAGCTTGTGATCATGGCCGTATGATTAGGGAATTAGTGTCAGACTGGACACCTCTAGAAGTGACAGCTCTTTTAGAAGAATATGAAGCACTGGCAGCTCTCAAAGACTTATGTGTGCAAGCTGAACTAGCAAGGCCACCAGCTTCTACATTTAAACAAGACTTATCTGCACTCTATGATTATAAATATTGCACTGACGCTGATTTGGTATATCGAGGAGCATGTTTCCCAATTCATCGAGCTTTATTATCAATAAGGTGTCCTTACTTTCGTGACCTTCTTGCCGGCTGTCCTGGTTATGGTGCAAGGATTTGTTTAGAACTACGTACTCAAGTAGATGTGCAACTTTTTTCTGCCCTCTTAAGATATTTATATACAGGAGATATTTGTCCACATGATACGAATATAGATTTAAATTTACTCAGACGTTTACGAGAAGAATTTGGAACTCCAAACGCTTTAGAAACAGATCTACAATACTTATTAGAGACTGGCGATTATGCAGACGCTGCATTAGTATTTACATCGGACGGCTTAGATTGTCAAAGACCTGACTCGGGAAGTTCTGAGTATGGGTTTCGGCCTAAACTTGAACTTCCTTGCCATAAAGCCATTTTATCTGCAAGATCTCCATTTTTTAGAAACTTATTACAAAGAAGATCTCGAACTGGCGAAGAACATACAGAACGTGCTCTACATATTCCTACCAGAATAGTTCTTGATGAAAGTGTTATACCTAAAAGGTATCAACGTTTATTTTATTTTTTGCGTATTTTCTAATAATTTTTTCTGACAGATATGCACGTGTTCTGCTCCATGTGATATATTTAGACCATGTTGACCTCTCGCTAATTTCAAGAGGCGGTTGTGGAGGAGGTTTGGGCGAAGCTCAAGCATTAGCACATACTGGACGGGTTCGACCATCTCCATTAGAAGAAACAATGGAATTGTACCAAATAGGTCGATTTCTTGAATTGGACATTTTATCTCAAGGCTGTGAAGATCTTATATTAGAATGGTTATCACTTGACACATTGCCAACTGTATTACAATGGTCTCAGCAACCGTACGGGTCCGCATGGGTTCATCGTCAGGTATTGTTTTAGCATAAATTAAATTATAATTCACAAAAACAAAAAGTAAATATTTACAGGCACTGCATTTTCTTCGTGAAGAATTTCAAGCAATTGTTCAGTCTCCTGTTTTACATCAGTTAGACAAAGTTCATCTGCAGGAAGCATTGAAGAATCCATTCTTACAAGCAAGTGAATTAGAAGTTCTTCATGGTGTTTTAAAATGGGGAGAACAGCAACTGGTTAAAAGAATGGAAGACAGAGGTAAATTGAACTATTTCTTTTTTATTTTATCCTCTGAGCTTCAAAGAGAATAAAATTTAAAGGTTTTACTCATATGTGCAATAACACTAGGTAGTTTGACTTCTGTAATTCCGTTGTTTTCAGAACCAAATTTGTTGAACCATACAGCACACTCAGTAACACGCAAAGGGGTTAAAAAGCGTGATTTAAGCGACGTTGAACTGCGTGAAATACTTTCAGATTTATTACCTTTAGTTCATATAGATCATGTTTTACCAGCAAACAATGAAATACTGAATCAAGCTATTCGTAGAGGTTTGGTTAGTACTCCTCCAAGTCATATGCTAGGGGGCGACGAAAATATGCGCGTTAATGCCTGGATAAGATGCGGAAAAAATAACGGCCTTTTTATACGTCCACGGCTATTTATGCCATATTACGAAGAGCTTAAAATTCTAGTTGAGGATCATCTAGTACAGGAAGTTGAACTGCACAGGATGAGAAGAGCTAGATATATGCAAGACATACCAGATACATTGTATATGGTTGGCCATAAGCCCAAACATAGACCCTATGGCATGGCAAATGTTGATGTTTTAGCGGCTACAATACCTGTGCCCGATCGTGCAGTTACTAGCGCTATGTTAAAAAGGGAACAAAAACTAAGACAGTCTCCAAGTTGTCAAAGAGCTCTTAATTTATTGTTGTCTTCAGTTCATGAAATTAATCAACAGATACGCTTACGTGTTGTACGAGAATTTAATCTCCCTGATCCAGTGGCTGACATTTTGGAAAGTTGTCACTGCGAAAACGAAATAGGACCAAATGAAGAGAATGTAGTTGAAGCTTCGCCAAAAAAATTGAATTTAAAAGGACATGGTAGCAATTATGGTCACCATATGACATTCCCAAGGCAGAACAATTTCTCAAGGGCTCCACACGAATTGCCGGCTGTCGTGCCAGAAGGTGATTTTCGGTTCCCTAATGAACCAGAAAGCAGTTCTTGCAGCGACGGTCACCTATCTGATATTATGCCTGATGTAGCTATGGCGTCTGCAAGTCTTGGCCAAATTCAACTGCATGAACAGCCAGAAATGGAGTTGGATTTGGGCGATGGAGGATCTCATCTTCATGCAGTCGTTGAAACACCACAAAGTTTACGTAATTCTCTACACCATCCGGTTGATTACAGAAATTATTCTTCTAGTACTTTCCCCCATCATCGGACTGAATCAACTCAGTCTTATCATCACCGGACACCGCCAATGCCTAGGTTCTTATAGTCCAGGTTGTATCGATACAATTAATTATTTTTCATCAGAAGCTAGTTATGTTGTTTACAATTTGGCTTTTTGTTTTCTTTTGGCCAATACGTTTTTCGATGAATTTCTGTTTAAATTTGTTGTTGTTTTGCCGAAATGGGACTTTCTTTTTCAATTTCTTTAACAAATATGACAGTAGAGTTAGATTATTATTTAAATTTTAAAAGCGAAAAGTATAATTTTAATTTTTAGATCATGTATAAGACTATTAATTTCGAATATTATTATATAAATAGTTGTTTGAGAAACGGAAAGTAGGGAAGTATCCCATATTGTTGATTCTGTTTATTTTTGCAGTTTACTTGAAATTTACTTGTGGATTTTGAAAAGGTACAGGGTGTTCCTTTAATTTCGTTTTGCTGCTTTACCAAATATTAGTTTTCTTTCCTTAACAAATGGTAGAAGGAGTTTATGTAAAAACATTTACTGTAGTGCCCCCACATGGAATCTGTGATTATGTAAAAACAATTAAATAACTGTGGTACTTGACCATAACGAGGCGAAGTTTGATCTCTTTAAACAAACTTTCCTGGAACCCGACTAGTATTTTTGACACTTCCAGCAACCAGTCATGCTCTGCCAAGGTAATGTAATGTAATAACCCTAATTGTATGCTGTTTTACATAATAATCAATATTTTTACTGTACTACAACTCATAAGATAACTTTTTAAACTTAACTTTTGTAAAATCCGCAGAATATAAGTTTTTATTGTCATTTTTAAATTGGAAATTTATAAGATACATTCAAAAGGTTTCTACATGTTACACCACATCATTAAGTACTTAAAGAGCAATGCTTTTAAATTCTTAACAATATTTATATTTGCTTAAAATCTGAACTGTTGAACTAATACATCTTTTTTGTTTTTTCATTCATTACCTTAAATTTTTCTGCGAACATAAAATTATAATGGATTTGTACTTAACTTCCCTAAACAGTTTTTATTGATTTTAAAATTTTGAGTTATCTGATGAGATGTAGGACAAGACAAAGATGTTGTAAACTTACATAAAACAGAGTAAATATTCATAGCATGCTTGTATTCCATTCTATTATAGTAAGTGTGGATGTAATAGCTTATATTACATTTTTTCATTATTGCCTTTCTTTGCAAAAAAATGAGTTGCAGCTTTTTATAAAGAATGCTGTCACTTTTAAACTTTTTTTAATGGTTGTTTATGGCGTTGTCTGTTCTTTTGATTTTAAAAGGAATTGTTGTTATCGTGGTAGGTAACAATATTTTATGAAATAGTAATTAGTCTGATGTTCTATGGAGATTAGCGGTTGTGACGTTATCAAAGTAGATAAAAATATGATTTCTGCATAAATGTTGAAATATAAACCGGTATATTGACAAATTTGTAGCGCATATAAGGGCATCGGGCTCTTGGTTTTACTTGGTAGATTT